TTCGTAATCCTGTTGGCCATTTGGTGTAAGCAGGAGCTCACACCTCCTTGCTGGAATGTGGTAAAATCCAGGTATATGTGTGATGCTAATAAGTATGCTAAACTGTCCTAGTGGTCATCTCAGGTTGTGAACCCCCTGGCTCTGCAGGACACCCCATGACAAAGTAGAACTTGGGTTATGCCTAGTGGGTCCAGGTGTGGGTGTAAAACAGGCCAACAAGTCTTTGTTAATATGTAAATAGGCTGTCTGGTTGCTTGGAGATGCAGACATCCTGCCTCTACAGAATTCAAAGTAAGCAGATTCTACTTCATTATCACTTGATTCTCATCAGTACAATTGTAAGATATATAAGAAAGGAAAATTAAAAATAACCAAAGCATAGTAGTTCTGGACAATCATCAATACAGCTGTAATGTATATAAGCAACGGAAATAAAGGTATGAAAAGTAACTAAGAGAAAATGGAGAACTGAAAAGTAACTAAAGGGAACTAAAGGTATGAAAAGCAACTAAAGCTGACAAAGTAACTAGAGCCTATGAGAATCAAATCTTACAATTTCCCCTTTTGACATGATTTTATCATGTCAATCAAAAAAAAACATTGGAGAATTATAAACTGTATTGGAGGACTGACATGAATGTCAGAGACAAATCAGTCATCCAACCAGAGGGAGCATAAGGCCCCCTTTTGGAATCTCAATGTAATGTAAACATGTCTTGACTGCTAGCGTACAACACCGTGCAACCAAAAGCATCTGTCCACTTGTCTTCTCATGCAAAGGAGCATGAGTCAAAGCCGATTCTTGACCCATAGGGTCCAAATTGGTGCTGGCCCACTCTCTGCAATTAAAACAGCTTCCACTCCTCTGGGAAGATTGTACATGGAGTCTAGGAATGGGAGACTGTTCAAATGTCTTGGTATGTTGAAGCCTAAAGAGTTATTTTCACTGGATCAAAGAGACCAAGCACAGTTCCTGAGAAGCAACTTCACCTCATGAGCCGATGCCCTGCATCGTACTCGGTGGTGTTGGTGTGGATGTGGCAGTTCAACTATGGAGCCCCCTTTCAGGGAGCTCTCCATGTCCTGGGGTGGGGCCACTCTGCAGGTCACATGAAGTGTCAGACCTAGACTCACTGCACTGGTGGTATCCCATCATCACACCATGCTGGAGTTTGTTGAGATCCTGAGAGCGACTGATTCTTTCACAACTGTCTGTAGAAGCTGGATACATGCCTGGGTGGTTGATTGCATGCACCCGTAGCTATGGAAGAGAGTGGGGCACCTGAGTTCAATAATTTGTAGGGGTGGATGAACACCTCCGGCAGCACAGTGCACATGTCAGCGGCTACATGCAAGCAGATTTTCATTGTAACTACATCAGGAAACATTCTTCAATTCACAAACGACTGGAAGAAATAAGCAGAATGAATAACACAAAAATGAAAAGATACAAATAAAGCAATCCTCATTGTAGGAACCAGTTCTTGCTACCATGCTAACTCTGAGAGACGAGGCAGTCCAAGTAACTTCAAAACAGTGCTGATTTATTCAAAGGATCACAGGTAAAATTAACATTACATTTGCAGCTGGCCATAGCAGTAGTCAAAACATGAAGCAAATCAACGTGTGAATGTGTATGTCTGTTGGTTAAGTGGTGTGTAGCTAAAAACATTCTCACGACCTCTAGTACATATCGTGACTCGAACATAGGAACATTATGGCTACAGTCTACAGTTATATACATCATAATAATAATATTATTAAACACCCTGTCTGCTGACAGTCATCAACTCTTCTTCTCTCTGGTAACCTTGACCAGATGTACCCTGCAGCAACTCATATGCAGGCCTAAGCATTTAACAGTCTAACTAGACATCCTCTCTCCACTAACATTTCTAATACATAAAGTATCTATCCAATATCTATCTGACTAAAAATATCTAACATCATCAAAATGGAAAAATAAAATGCAAAACAATATACTGTATAAATGCAAAACAATCAATAAAAAATGGAAAGGAACAAATAAGGCAAACAACAGAAAAAGGGAAAATCAATCAACAGTATGGTCATCCTAATTATCAAAACATAAATTGTTCATATCTCTTTCTCAATGCAAAATGGAAAAGATTTATATGCAAAACAATAAATACAAAAATGGGAAATTAATAAGCAGAGTAATCGACAGTGAGTTCATCCTATTTAACCCAAGTATCCATCATTCATAACATGTCCTGCAATAGTAATCTAATCCACATCTTTATTTACTGTGAGCCACCGGGAATGAAACGATTCGAACCCTGTTGCTATTTATTTTTTAGCTTTGAACTCATACACTCATTTCATCTATGTGGCTGTGGCTGTGGCTCACGAGGTAGGGCAAATCGTCATCTGACCAGCAAGTTGGTGATTCGTCTCCCCGCGTGCCTAAGTGTCCCTGAGCAAGACACTGAACCCTGAAATGCTCCCGGTGGCTTGACTAGCACCGTTGTGTGGCAGCCTTGTCGTCATCGGTGTGTGAATGTGTATGTGAATGGTGTATGATCTCCTGTAAAGCGTTTTGGCCAGTGCAACACACTGTGAAAAATGCGCTATATAAATACAGTCCATTTATGCACACTCTGTTATTAGCCGTTCCTCTGGGGCCTGCCTTCTCTCCTGGTCCTGCGATATAAATGGGATGTAGATAACAGCTTTTCCCTAGCTCCTTGTCTTTTCTCAAGGATGGCATGTGAAAGGGCATCGGCAGCTGCACCAGGGTACAGGCCCTTGAGACGGTTTGGTTCACAAACCGGGTGGCAGAATAGTGATGTTGAAGGTTCCTTGCACCAGGCCGGCGGCAGGTAGTGGGCATTCTTGCCGGTAACAGAGCGCACATAGCAGGTATAATTTTGAGGATATCAGTTGCTAATGGAGTAATGTCTCCTTTGTCTCGCCGGTGGAAACAGTAAAGAGAGATTAACATTGTTCAGTGGTTAGAGAAAAAGACTTATCATACTCTTATGGCATACACGATAATCCTGTAGTCTGCCAATTCTTTCAATTGACTGGGGGGCTGTTCCTAATTGTAGTCCCACAGTAGAACAAATACAAACAATATAACTGCTAACATTGCTTTGCCTTGCAGTATCAAATCAAGTCAAATCAAATTTATGTATATAGCACTTAAAAAAATTCAGCTGACCAAATTACCTTACATAACAGAATAGAATCAAAATAGATGACTAAAATAGAGTAATTAAGATCAACCCAAAAATAAAAGGCAGTGTACAGTCAAAATGCACTGCAATAAAAACAAAACTGTCAAATTGTGCATCAAGTGCCCGGTGACGTGTGTGGTCAGTGTACTGTCAAGGTCTTCAGTGTTTGTGCTGATTGTGAGTAAGCTGTGTGGCAGAACTTGGAGCGGAATAGGCCTGTAGTTCCCAAACATTTTTGATCAAGGCTCTCTTTCTTTGTAAATATTTCTGAACTCATGTTCATTTCTCATGAAAGCAATGGACTGTTATTATTGTAATGTTCAGTGTTTATGAGCAATGTTAATGTTTTTATCTGTTTGACCAATTTCTCATATTTTATTACATGTATTTTTTCACTAGAGATTTTGAGCCAGGCTCAAAGCTGTTATACTTTTTGTCCTAGAACTGCCACATTATTAAGTGCTGATATATTTCAGGCAACAAAGTAACCACTTAGATTTAAAACAGGTGGTCAATGTAGCTAAGTGATGCCAATTTTCTCCAATGTTTTTGGAGATGTGAGTACCTGCTAGCAGACCAATAGCAGGCAGCTACATCTCGGTCAGAGAGGAGTCAGATCAACCAATCGACACGCAGCTTCTCACAACGTGTAGCTGAGATTTGGGAGGTGTGCGCGTTGGACCGTCCGCAACCATCAGCAACCTACATTTAACCATAAATCCTTTCATTGCGTGGGTACACATCAATGCCTATGTGCAGTTGCAGACCAGTTTGAATTGCCTGTACCACTGCTCTGTACTGAACTATTGTTCAACCACAAGTGAACTGTGCTGAATCCAGAGACCTTGGGAGAGATGAAGGGAAGAAAGGAGGAAGTGAAACAGGGTAGTTAACAGGGATTAAGCATTTATAGTTTTTGCTGGCTTTTTTCCTCCAAAGCAGGATGACTGACAGCATTTTGCTGCCTGTCTCATCGTTGTGATGTAAACCTATGCTCCACTTGTCGTGTGTTGTGTTCTATGCGGTCAGCACAGCTCATACTGTTGGCTTCAGACTGGTGTCAGGCTGGTTCAGCATTATTTTCAGTGTATCACTTCTGCAAGTGACCACATCTGTTGTTACTGTTTACTATTTTTAAAACATATAGTATAAGATAGTATATGATTTATATTTATCAAAAGATGTTTCATATTTGTGTGTACTGGGCCTTCTGACCTTTACAGTGAGTGAACAGGCAGAGAATGACTGTCCTGCTTAAGGAACATTAGGCTGCAACTGGGTCTGTACCTGTGACCTGGTAAAGTCACTCTCTTGCTAGGCCAACTTGCCACCATGGCTATGGACAGTAAAGGGGTCTCATTGTGTGTGTCCTGCCAAACCCTGCTATGCAAAATCCAGTTGTGCTCACAAGATTTTAGCAGATCACTGACAAATGTTCGGGCTTTGGCTTAAATCAGCAAACCTTTTAGACACTGATCCTTTAGTTGCTCTGCCCTCAACAGTAATCCACCATTATCCACATGTATTCGGCATCAAGGGACCAAAAAGCTCACACTAAAATCTGCAGTTCTGCAATATGCATCGAAGGTGAGCTGAGCCCTGGAGCTGCTTGTAAAACTGGACCTGTAAAACTTTGTTATAGGCAGTTATTGTTTTTGTGGATGACCTTTTATTTCACCAGAGACTGAGCAATACTTATGGAACTGAAATTCACTTCTCTACCAGTACCAAAATATGCTTACAACTGATTATTCACTTTGTATCATGAAGTAGAAAAAGCAAGTGTGTCATCTCCATGAGCCCTTGATGGTCTAGTGGCTAGGATTCAGCGCTCTCACCGCTGTGGCCCATGTTCAATTCTCGGTCAGGGAAGGTGGCTTTGGGCACTACAGTTCCCTAGAATATCCTACACTTACTGGCGACAGTGGTGCGGTGGGTAGAGCAGTTGTCTCTCAACCAGAAGGTTGAAGGTTTGAATCTCAGTGCCTGCGGTCCACATGTTGAAGTGTCCTTGGGCAAGACACTAAACCCCCAAGTCGTCCCCGATAGTTAGAGCCATCGGTTGAGTTGGTGCCACAGATGGCTGCCATTGTGTACCGAAACAAATTCCTTGTGTGTAACGTACTTGGCCAGTAAAGGTGATTTATTTATTATAACAGTGCCCCAAACAAAATGAAAAAAGCCTGTAGTGCTCACAGTCACTATGTACATTAAAGACATGAAGCATCTTGCCTTGTGAAAACACAACAAAAATAAATAAATAAATAAAAATCACAGCATGTGGCAGAGTTTGTATATTCATTTCCAATGTGACTTTTTTTGTGTAGAGAAAGCATTATTACAATAGATTGTACAGATCAGTATTTAAACACAAGTATCCTACAAAACACTATTACTGTGCAATTTATAATCTCAACACAAGAAAAAAAAATGGCACCGTTTGCAGTTTTCTGCATAAATTGGTGAAGATCAGATTACATTTCATGGCCAAAGTCACAAATATGAACAAACACAATGGTTCTAAACTAACAAAGTACAAACAGTCATGATCTTTGATGTCTATGTTGAAATACTGAACAGGCATGGTATCCATGGCAGGACACCATGGAAGCAGCCATTGCTCTCCAAAAACAACACTGCAGCAGTCTGAAGTTTGCCAAAGACCACCTTGACACTCCACAGTACTACTGGGAAAATGTCCAGTGGACAGATTAAATGAAGGTAGAACTGTTTGGGAAGAACATACAGCACTATGTGTGGCGTAAAAAAGAGAACCTTGTACCAACATGAAAACATCATCCCAGCAGTGAAGTACGGTGGAGGCAGCATCATGATGTGGGGCTGCTTTGCTATGGACCTGGACCAGTTGTCATTGTGGAGGGAAAAAGAATTCCCAAGTTTATCAAGGTGTCCTAAAGGATAAGGTCAGGGTGGCTGTCGGCAACCTGAAGCTCAGAACAAGCTGGGTGATGCAGCAGGACAATGACCTAAGCCTCGAAGTAACTCTACTACAGAATGTCTTCAGAGACACAAAATCTGCCTTTTGCAGTGGCCCAGTCAAGTCAGACCTCAACCCAATAGAGACGCTGTGGAATGACCTCAAGACTGTCAGGGCAGTGTGGAAAATACACCACTAAAATGTAAGTGAACCCAATTAAATGGCCAGTATAACAGGCAATGAGCAAGACTCTTTATTAAAAAAACTACGAGAAGAGAAGATGAGGACAGGCTGGTGTCTGATCTCAGGCGAGTGGGGATCTTAGTAGCACCAGAGTTGCAGGGAGCCCAGGGAGGAGGACGTGGAGTACGTAACTCTTGTCTGAAGGAAGGATGGGGATGAAGGGATGGGTGCTGATGGTTAGTGCAGAGTGAACTAGGTGCGTGAGTGGCCCTGGTGTCACCTTGGTGCATGTGGAGACACTCCTGCTTCAGAGACAAGACACAGTGCAACTAGACAGAATCACTTAGGTAAGAACACACTTCTTCATCCACAGGCATGAATCTCAGTTCAGAGACAGAGGGACTCCAGCAATACAGATAGCCAGAAAAAAATATGTATCTCTCACGGTCTTTACAAGGACAAGGCAGCATCGTCGTCAAGAGTCAAAAAAAAAAAAAAAATCTCACACTGTTATTACTTAGTCTTTGAGGAGCAAGGCAGGGAGAGAAACTAGATGCAGAAAAATTCAAAGATCTGGTTCAGGTTTCATCAAGATATCATAGACTCAAGCTTGCTGGAGTGTCGAGCATGCAGTCAGGGCAATCTGGCAGGTCCTCTGAGGGATGGAGCTGCTTATAACAGGGCATACACAGATGTATTCAATTTGCGCAGGTTAAGATATTTGGTGTGATGAATTAAAGTGACCTGGAGTGAGAGTAGGGTGAAACAAGAAGTGTCAAGAAAAGATAAGAGCCGGTTACCAGAAGAGGAGCTGGAGATCATGACAAAGATGTTCACACCAGACGTCATCAGAATATAGCTGAGCTGAAGCAGTTCTGTGAGGAAGAATGGTTCAAGATTCCTCCTGAACGTTGTGAAGGTCTAATCCACAGCTTCAGGAAGCACTGGCTGCAGGTTCTTGCTACCAAAGGTGGTTCAACCAGTTATTAAAATACTGTTGCCATGACTTTGTATGAGTGTGTTCAATAAAGACATGAAAAAACACCTTAAGCCAGAGTACACTAAAGTGTACTCCTGCCTAATAGCAGCTGCACTATTTGCTACAACAATTTTTCAATTGCTCATTATGGGTTAAAGGATTGTAAATGGCAGTGTTGAGGAGTAGTGAACTACATGTAATTACACTACAAGTTTACATTTTACAGTAGTTTGCTGGTAGTTCAGCTACATTCATATTCATGTAGTAACTGCAGTAATTAAATTACTGTTATAAAAATTGTTCTTACACATTATTTTTACTATTTAATGTGTTTTAAACTTTCAGACCAGAGCCATGTGAGAAACTGGCTGAAGGACGTTTTCTATCTTTCATGTGAAACTCTGTGTACTAAGATATACTCGTCTACAGACTGTTCCAGACGAAGCGAGACACAACCGTCAACTGTAATATAAGCATGTGTCCCAGTATGATTAGCATCTAAGTCGTGTTATCAGGGTTCCAGATTCAATTGACTTTGTTGCGTCATTACAAAATTCTTTTGACAATTACATTTTTGCCATTTTTTGTGCACTTACCTACTACAACTACAAATCATTTTGGGCCATAAAAGGAATGGAATGATTTTATTTTACCATTACTTCTCTAATCTTAACCACCTTGTGGATAAGAACTTTGAGAGACTGCTTGTGTCATATGAACAAGAGATTCGGTTCTGAGAAGTAGTAGTGAAAGACAGGCCCATTTATACCAGTGTTGAAGCTGTTCATCAGGTCTAAAATGTATAAGTTCAAGAAGATACACATACCACATAGACAATTATAGAATAAAAACAATACACTTAATAAACAGTGGTACTGGTGCTCAATCCTGTTTTCTGAGTCATTTAGGTGTCAAATAAACTTGTAATTCAAATGTTTGAGAATAGCATTAAAAGTAAAGTTTCCCACCTTGCAGAACAAGCCACTTGCACTGCAGTATCTTGGTTTTCTCAAAAAAAAAAAAAAAAAAAAAAAAAAACACTCAGCAGTCATTCTAAGGAATCTGGAGCCTCTGTTTCATTGTTTTCTTTAAAGTTGTCCATAGAGGCGCAGTGTATAGGGACAAACAATAAGCTTTAAATAGTCTCACTTTAACAGAATTAGGGCACATAGAACACTTTCTTGCCAGCACATTCCCCTGTGCATAAAGCATATGGCATTGTCTAATTGTATTATCATCATTTAACTGGTCTTTAATACAATGTCCCAAGTACATATAAGGACAAGTTTTTTGTCTCAGGTAAATCAATTCAAATGAATGGCATTTTTTGCTAGCAAGTGAGTTTTCTTTTATTATGTTATAATTTTGTATCACTGTCAGTTAAATAATTTTTTACAAAGTAGTTTGAACTACTTTTTCTAAGTAACTTTAGTTTACCAAGCTACATTTCTCTCCAGAGTAGATTTGCTGTAGTTTACCTTCTTCCAGTGTGAAGTAATTGATAGTTTGCAAAATAACTTTTTTAACGTAGTTTCCACAACACTGGTAAAAGACACGTTGAGGTAAGTTTAACAGGCATCATTCATTCATTAAGCATTTGATAGCTGTTATTTAAACTACTGTTGCTTGATAGTATCTAGTCACTCTGTGTTGATTCCTTATGCATTGATTCAAACTCCCTTTACACATAGTTAAACTTATAATAGAATAGAATATACTTTGTTGGGAGTGGGTTCAGTTTAGGATGGAGAACTCTAATGCTACCTTAAACTAATCCACCCTCATTGATATAAATGAAATATAGTTTTACTTACTAAACTGAATACTGAATATTACTTTGACAAAAATATTTCAAGAGGGTAATTGATTTTGATATGATAGAGAAATGAATGGAAATGACTAGATGGAAGAGTAGAAAAATGCATCCAAGGTTTAAAAACTAAGTAGCACAATTAGCAGGACGGTTAGTTGTGGGATAAAATATACATGATTTGCAGTAAGTGGGCAAATCCATATCGGTTAGAACTGCATCATCAAACAATGGTGCTTATGCAGTACTTGGCTCTGAAAAGCATCCTAACTTGTCTTTTCTTTTCTAAAAGATCCCTACACCCCAAATAACAGTCTGTCTACATATCTTTGGCAGGGTGAATGTCTGTCTACTGTCAGATCTGGTCCTTGTCTAAGGTCAGATCTGCTGTTTGTCCCAGGTTCAGAGGTAAGGTTGGGGAGTGGGGTATGGAGTGAAATCTCACCCACTGTCCTCTACCTCAGCCTGCCCTGTAGGGCTTCTGCCATCACACACTCATAGCTCAAGATTAGTAAAGTCAGCTAGACCTTAGGGATCCTCGTCGCCACATTGACAGTGTTTCACTTTGGAAATTTAATTTCATTAAATAGGGGCTGTAAGATTCATCATATTGTGCCTTGCCCAAGAATATGATTTTTGAGGGTTCAGAGAATAATTTTGTCTTCAAATGACTACTCTCATCAGGAGGTCCTTTATGCAGCAATACAATAAAATCTTGTCTCTTTAAAGGGCAAATCTCATGCTGTGACTGAAAAACATGGACATGCAGCTGAACTATTCAAAGTAAACACCAGAAGAACAAACATTCCACAGGATGTTTCATGCAGTGATTATTCCTTCAGTTTAACAGAAACACTTCATGCTCCCTGCCGTTGTAACCATACAGAATTAAGTCATTCCGAATTAATTGTTTTTGGTCTACAAAATGATTTGTGCAAAAAAACAACAAATAACAGTAATTC